TTTTTTTTTTTTTTTTTTTTTTTTTTTGGGTGCTGGGACCTTCTTTGGTCCTTGCACGGCCGGGCCGCCCGGGCAAACAAGGTGACCCGGACGGCCCGGCTGGTAGCCTAGGTTTGCTTACATTACTCACCAAACGAACGAGGGACAGTACACACCCCTCTGCAGTTGTTGCTCGACAGATTCAGAGAACAAGCTCCAATCAGTTTGATGAACTTTGATCACATTACTGACCACATGCATGATTTAACCAAGGCGAAGAGAGAAGTTCGAACATCTAACAAGAATGGCGAGAAAGTTGACAAATGATTCACAACGAAAGAGAAGTTATCACTCTCAAAACAAAAGCGGGCAATGATGATAAGCTGCAGACACAGGGGAAAAAAACTTTAAAAAGGCCAGTCGCACACAAAGTAGGCAAAATTGGTGAAGAGGATGAAACCAGTGACATATCTAATTCTAATATCTTTTTTTAAGTTTTTTTTATATAAACGGCAACGGCCTTGAGATTCTCTTGCCGTGTTCTTTTTTTTTACCTGTGTTCCTGGTGAGTTGATGTAAAAGTAAATGGGCTTTGATGGGTTGTCATAGTTTAACCACAGCAACTCCGCGATGATCAGCTCTGTGACAGCAGGCACAATCTGAGCGACAAAGACAAATTACACCAAACCAAAAAAGATTCGGTCAGATAAACTGACAAACAATGCAATTGAAACAACGAAATTTGTCCTTCGGGACATCCGTTAAAATTGGAACGATACAGAGAAGATTAGCATGGCCCCTGCGCAAGGACAAATTAAAAAAAAGAAAAAAAAAACAACGAAATTCAACAAAGAGAAACAGACGCATTTAAATAACCCCCCCCCAAAAAAAAAAATAAAAAAAAATCAAAAGAAATAGACGATGAATATTCCAAAGGGAACAAAATCCACATACACCGACCAAAACTCCCCCCCAAAAGATGACTTCAGCATACTCAACCTCATGGTCCACAAAATGTGGTCCCGCCCACCCCGCACAAACGCACACACACACACACACACAAAAAAAAAAAAAAGCTCTGAAAAAAAACACAATCAGCAGGACCAACTAAAAGAAAAGACCCAAAAAGCGAACAAGAATCTTGGTTCCCACATGACAAGAGAAGAGACAAGAAGGATAATCGAGAGAGAGAGGGAGAGAGGGAGAGAGGGAGAGAGGGAGAGAGACCAAACAGGACCGAAAATATGGATTTGTAAGAATACAAAGGTTATATGATTATATCCTTCCTATGCCAATAAGAAGGCATCATGATCCCGATGGACCCCGCAGATATAATTTGCATTTCACAATGCAAAAAACAGGGGCATTTGGAACCACTCCTACTTTGCTGCTCCCCTGACCGGCCTGAGTCGTATTATTATACACTTTTTATTGTGCTCTTCATGGGGTATTAGTACCTTATTACTATTATTTCCCAAAAAAAAAAAAAAAATACTATTACCGTATTACGCTATCAAGTAGTATCAACTAAATACAAACGACGAGCATTGAAAAAGAGAAATCAAAGTCAAATAAATGAGAAAGTAATCCACCAGACTAAGAACAGAAACAAGAAGCGGAGGACAAGAAGAGCTCAAGCAGGCACAGACAGAGACAGAGAGTGCTAACCTTCTTCGCCCAAATACAACGTACGGTCATTATAGCTGCCAGCAGGCGATTGACGTCAGATGACAGATTCCAAATTTTAACGATCCAATCGAAAACAGGAAATGGGGGAAGGAGGAAAGGAGAAGAACAGTCCCTCGGCAGACCCGCTAAAATTGGAAAGACACAAAGAAGGAAGATTAGCATGGTGCCTGAGCAAAGATGACACGCATAAATCGAGAAATGGTCCTAAATTTAAAACTAGAAAAAGACAAAAAAAAAGGAACGACACACAGAAGATTACCATGGCCCCTGCGCAAGGAATAAACGGTCCAAATTAGAAAGAAAAAAAAAAAAAAAAGGGAAAGAAGAAGAACATACCGGCATCCCGAGATAGCAAATTCTGGCATCCAGAAGCAGCGATGGCAGATCTGGAGGAGACGTCTTCGGCCTTCCATATCCACCGCCCGCATACATGCTCACACTCATACTCAATCTGCTCTTGTCCTGTACACCGAATAGACTGTGCATACCACCCCCCTCCCTATAGGCAGCTGCTGATGTGATCATCTCCTGCACATCACGACCAAGCATCCACACCAAGAACTTTTAACTACACACAATAGTCACAACATTGAATTTCAAACACAACTCTCTCTCTCTCTCTCTCTCTCTCTCTCTCTCTCTCTCTCTCTCTCTCTCTCTCTCTCTCTCTCTCTCTCTCT